TAGGTGTAGGTGTAGGTGTAGGTGTAGGTGTAGGTGTAGGAGTAGGTGTAGGTGCAGGTGTAGGCGTAGGTGTAGGAGTAGGTGTAGGTGTAGGTATAGCAGGTGTACGTGTAGGTGTAGGTGTGGGTGTGGGTGTGAGTGTGGGTGTAGGAGTAGGTGTAGGTGTAGGTGTAGGTGTAGGTGTAGGTGTAGGTGTAGGTAGAGGAAAATGCAGGTGTAGGTGTAGGTGTAGGTGTAGGAGTAGGTGTAGGTGTAGGTGCAGGTGTAGGCGTAGGTGTAGGTGTAGGAGTAGGTGTAGGTGTAGGTATAGCAGGTGTACGTGTAGGTGTAGGAGTAGGTGTAGGTGTAGGTATAGCAGGTGTACGTGTAGGTGTAGGTGTGGGTGTGGGTGTGGGTGTAGGAGTAGGTGTAGGTGTAGGTGTAGATGTAGGTAGAGGAAAATGCATTCCATATAACCATGAGCATAGTGGAGGGGACAAGGTGGGAGAAGTAAGGGAGGTGGAGATGGTGGAGAAGGGAGTCGGAGGTGGTGGGAAAGGGAGATGGAGGTGGTGGCGAAGGGAGTTGGAGGTGGTGGAGAAGGAGGAGGAGGAGAAGGTGGAGGAGATGGAGGTGGTAAAGGAGGTGGAGGTCGTGAAGCTATGGAGGGTTTAGGAGGGGGAGAGATGAGGACGGCATTCTGATTTTTCTTTCTTCTTTGTCCAGAAGGTGATGCCAGAGGCAGAGGCAAAAGAGGTGGGGGGTACTGAGGCAGACGTGGAGGAAAGGGAGGAGGAGGAGGAGGTGGTGGTGGTGGTGGTTGAACCAGGGGAGTGAAGTTGGTGGACCAAACTCTACTGAAACATAACCATGAGCATAGAAGAGTGCCTCGTCCAGAAAATGTAATGTGTCAATGTTTCTTTTATAAACAAACCAAAAAAAAAAAGGGTCCTTGCGGCCATCATACCGTTCCTTTTTTTTTTTTTTTTTTTTTTTTTTTTGGGACCATTTCTCGATTTATGCGTGTCATCCTTGAAAGCGCAGAGGCCATGCTGCTAATCTTCTCTTTCGTTGTATCGTTCCAATTTTCACGGATGTCCCGGAAGGTCAGGTTTTGACATACTCTGTCCTCTGTGAGTTTGCTTGCTTACCTGCAGCCTACGGTATCAAGAATACTCGATGAGTGACCAGCAACAGCTCTTGTTGCTACCTGATGATCCTGATGATGATGATGATGATGATGATGATTGGTCTCGACATCGCCCATGCATGCATGGCGGGTGAGTGCTGTCAAGCCATCAGGAAGCTTCTTCCATCCTATTAACAATGCTGACCCATTGACATTGTTCTTCCTGCGGACCTGTTGCCAATGATTCTGATTCTGATTCTGGTTGACGTCAACACGCGACTCCTTCACCGGGATCTTGCACCCTCCGCCGACACGGCCGTCGTCTCCCACCAACAACCTCCTCCGTCGTCGGGATCTTGACCCTAACCTTTCATTGACGAAGCACACACCGCTCGCCACGTGGCGTTCCTCAGCAACGAGGCCGGAAAGGGGGCCACGTGCTGCGACTGCCGATTGGGACCCCTGCAGCAGCAGTATACTCTCTGACACGGACATTGCCGCCTACACCTGTTGACATCAACACAGACCACAGGATGGGGAGCACCCCATCAACGTGCCCAGTATCGAGCAATGAGCTCCCTCCGCGCGTGAGTGCAGCCATGCATAACTGCTAACGTAGGTGCTTCTTCTTTATTAAAGTAACAAAAAAGGGGGGGA